ATTTATTTATAAAACCTTGTGAAGCCAGGCAACACAAGGGAAGGTAAACTCACATTCATTATGTATTCAAAATGATGGGGGAAAATAAAGTCTGATGTGTTCTGATTTATTTTAAGTTCAGAAAGTGAGAGAAATGGGTCAGGTGTCAGACAAGTCTCCTGTCCCAGCCATCATGATGCAATCGTCAGCCAGCCTTTTCTTTAACACTTCAGGAAACTTTCGGCTCTACCGTTACACAGAGTGTTAAATACACTCTTCCTTTCAGTTTTTTCAGCAAGCTTCAGCAGTTAGAGGTGTCACTGGCAATACAGCACTCATATACACACAGCCTCATTTCCAAGCTTTCTTTATCTCAGTTTTCTAAGGAATGCTATCACATTTCAGAGCTGATAAATCCAATAATTTTAAAAGACAATATTGAATTTATAATAAATTTCACCAAAGCCCAAAATAGTCTGATAATGAATTTCACTCATTGGTGGCACTGGGCATTTCTAGACAAACAGGATTTTTTGAAATGTGAATAATCAGATATTCTCCTTTCTTACCGGGCAAAGTGTTCACAGATAAAACTATTTGTCATATTTGTGAGTAGCCATTCACTTTGGAACATGGAAAAAGTTACAACAAACAAACCTGCATAATAACAATCTAAATAATAAATTCTTAGAAATATTTTTCAAGAGAGATACTTAAAATATTTTCATGGACACTAAATGAAAAATTATGATCGATTGGCTGAAATTAAATAAATATCTAAGAAACATAAAGGGTCAAAAGTGACAAGGATTGAATGCTGGAAAACATAATTTGTTGTGCTCAGGTTATTTGGGAAACAAAAATGATAAAATTATTAAGTGGTAGAAATGAGACAACTAAACCCAAACTTTATTTTTATTCTTCTTTAAAATTATTAATTTAAACACCTGGAGGGTCCAACCTAGGAAACAACAAGGTCATTCTTTCTCTTTTCAACTATAACCACACACAACTACAAAGTCAGCTGGCCAGGTTTACTGAGTTTAAGCAAAAAGTAAAGTAGAAATACTTCTTCAATCTTTCTCCATTCACTCCTTTTATTTACTTTTTCACTACTCTTGCTTCCCTTTTATTTCCTCTCTTTCCTTACTCTTCTCCCTTTTCTCCATGTTTTATTCTTTCTCTCCCTGTCCCTCCCTCCCTGTCTCCCTCTCTCTCTCCTCTATTTCTTTCCCCTTCCTTCTTTCCTCCCTGTTTATTTATTCACTCTTTCCTTCCTTCCTTCTCTGTCCCCCCCTTCCTTTTCTCTCTTCATTATTACATTTCATTAATGTTTCCTTCCATACTGGTGAGCAAACCACTCATATTTAATATGGCAGAAATAGTTCATATAACATCCTTCTTCAAATGCAGAGTAAATGGAGGAAATAAGGGAAAGGGGTTGACATATTCACAAATAAGGGATCAGTAAGAGAGGGTGGGAAATTCACATCACAGGAAGGGTTATGTCACTCTGAACATAGGGGCTGATTTCTCAGCTAAGAATCCATTGTAATTTACCAAATTCTGTGCACACTGACCTTTGACCGCTTTGTGTATACTCCCCCTTCATTCTCCGTGGCATCTATTTCATGCCAAAAATGCAGCTGAAAGGTAAAAATAAAATAATAGTGGTGTAAATAATTCTTACACTTGTATTTTAAATCCTCAGAAATCATCATTTTTTATATAGTATTTTAAACATAATAACATTCTTATGCAGCCCAAAGGCCAACTGCCATGCTAATGGAAGAAAAAGAGAAGGGAAAGCTATTTTGCACATTGAGATGCTTTGGCTTGACTCCATTCCTGAATCAGAAATTCAATTGTAGACTGCTGATCCACAGAATTTGTCATATTTCATCAGACATCTCAAAAGAGTTCTTCTTGATGCACTGCATAGTCTTTCACGCCTCCATAAAAGTCATTTAAGCCTCTGAAATAAATATAGCGACACTAAAGATTAATACAAGAAAAGAAACAGATGCAGAGATGCATATGCTCTGTAAATGCATATAAAAGTCCTAATTCTATCCATTACTCTAGACTGCAAGTGAATAATTACAATAAAT